ATCCGTTCTCCCTTGGGGAGGGGGTAAAGTTTACTATAGTTTATATAGGGAAACAACACTTTTGGGTATATTTTGACAATTTTCTGTTGGAAATTATTTTTACTCGGTCAGATCATCTTTGGTGGATGACGGTATCACATTGTAAACTTGGAATTCCTGCCCCATCCCCAGGGGTTAGAGCGGGGCCCCAAAGGGAACATTTACAAATATTTTAAAATTCTTATCCTTTGATGACATGACAAGTATTGTATTTCACTTAGTTTAAATGCTGCTTCCCACATCACATCTAAACAATAAAATAAAGCTACCAGTACCTATGATACAACTCAGGTGACCGCTAAGGCCCTTGGGCCTCTTGTCTATTCTAGTTTTTTCTAAAGTTATGAAAAAAATTATCAATTTGGTTGATATATAGGAAATTCAGATCTGTGAGCTCAATTTCTTTAAAATTATCCCATACAGTCCTCTTTACAATTGTTACACTGTACATTGCTCCCCTCCCCCCAACCCACACACACACACTATTACTGGCCCCTTACCTGAAGTACTCTTTACAATTGTTACACTGTACATTGCTCCCCTCCCCCCAACCTACCCACACACACACACTATTACTGGCCCCTTACCTGAAGTACTCTTTACAATTGTTGCACTGTACATTGCTCCCCTCCCCCCAACCCACCCACACACACTATTACTGGCCCCTAACCTGAAGTACTCTTGATCACGGTCGGTGCGTGGGACATCCTTGTCTATCACTCGTATATGCGTCCATAAGTCCTTTACATCCACCTTCTGCCTGTTCACAAACACCTGTAATTAACAGACCATTGTTACATAGATCAACAATAAAAACTTACATGTCAATGTCAAATGACAATACCCTATATAGGAGCTATAATTTCATCTCAACTGTTCATCAGTTGGGTAACCGAACTACTCGGTAGTGAAGTTGACATAAAACCAATCAATCAATCAATCAAACTCAACTGCATGATATACGTTTGGTGTATAAGTGTCAGCTGAAATCAAGGAAGAACCCTAATGGATTTAAAATTTACCTATTTAAAACATGTATGAATTCAAAGTCTGCAATGTTGTTCAAAGAAAATAATAGTTAAGTCCTCAGTAACAGAAGGTCATGGCTGCCAAGTTTAGTTTAAAATTGAGATGAAATGTTTTCACAATTAGAAAACACATAGGCACTTTAAACTTTTATATCCTTTCAATGTATGTCCCCAGACCAGGAAAGCTGAGCATACTACTTATAACTACAATATGTAAGTACAGGTACCTGAGACTGTATTTTTACAAAGTCTATTTTCTGTTGCATTTCAGGTGTGGACACATCAATATTTGCAAAGTTCTTTGACAGAATGCTGAAGTCAGGCTGGTCTACGGACATGCGTGCTGCGTCCTCATTTCTAGAGAGCAGTTCCAGTGGTGACATGATGCCGTGAGGGGGAGTGGTGGGACTCTGTAGCTGATTGGTGGGGTCCTCCACCTGATAGCGTCCTATCAGTCCCTGCTCCAGGGGCGTGGCTATATAAGTGACACTAGCATTAGTTACCTTCATGATCAACCGCTAGAATGATTGGGAATATATGTGTTCACTTGTAAAACTCCAAGTTCAATGTCATTCTACGGCATTAATCCGTGTCCAGTTTGATCAATATGAAAATCAAAACATATATCATAAACAAAACCATAAATGACATTTTATGATAATATACACTATTTCTCTCTTTCCCCTGTGTGTAAGATAGAGTTGTCCAGGGTAAGAAAGGGGTTACAACATTTCTATCTTACACCCCATTTTACGTGACGTGACATCACACTAAACGTACAAAGGCTCAACAATGATGTGACGTCACCAATTTAGAAAACTCTGTTGCTGCAATTCATGAAAGACGACGTGATGAAATTAAAAACGTTTTGATATATTTGCCGTACTTATGTTGAAAAACCCTCGCGTGGAATTTGCTTATCCTACACCACTGGGCATGAAAGAGCCGAGCCTTACAATATTGTATGTATGGTAAATTTTAATTCTGGAAAAGGAATGTAGCACAATCATCTGATTAGTTCGAAACTTTGAAGATTCAATTTTTGTTTGAAATTTTAAGACTGCTATACATTTATAAATTTAGTTATGTATATTTTACAAGTTGATAGATTTAAAAAAAAAATCAAAAAAATCTGAAATTCTTTTATCAACACATCAAATACACAACATGTACTCTCTTACAAACATTCAGCAATGGCAGTATAGTTGCAGTACATACCCCCAGGCTTAGAGTCCAGAACAAGCATTGTTTTCCATCTAGACTTTTGCTCATGGTATTTCATGATGTAATCCAAAAGAATCTCTTCCCTTTCCCTGAAATGTTTGATATCAGAGAAAGAGGTATCTATAGTTACTGTATTATCATCAGAATAAAACATCTGAAATGTTTGATATCAGAGAAAGAGGTATCTATAGTTACCGTATTATCATAAGAATAAAACATCTGAAATGTTTGATAGAGAAAGAGGTTTCTATAGTTACCGTATTATCATCAGAATAAAACATCTGAAACAAGAGATCCCAGCTTCCATTTTAAACAACATGAGTAACGATATAACAGAAGCCATCACTCATTTGTATGTCAGTCTATTGGACCTTTGGATGATTAAAGTGACATGTGTGCCTGTATCAAAACGGGCAGCAATATCACTCTGATTAATGAGAACAAGAGGCCCAATGGGCCTGAATCACTCACCTGGTATTAATCTCACACTTGTAATCTTAAAAGTGGACTGATATATAGCTACAGGCAAAATATCAGTGTTCGATTCATAAGAACCTATTAAAAAATTTAAACCTATGACGCCTGTGACCTTGAAAGTCAAACAAGGACATTAAGTTGAAAAAAGTTATAGCCTTCCATCCCAGCATGCTTCTTGCCAAATATCATTACCCTGGACCTTTTGGTTATTCAGAACAAGTCATTTAAAGATTTAAACATATTTGATCCCTGTGACCCTGAATATGAGTGAAGGTCACTAATTTGAACACACTTTGTTGCCCTTTATCCCAGCATGCTACTGGCCAAATATCATCATCCTATAGGCCTTTTGGTTATTGAGAAGAAGTTGTTTAAAGGTTTTAAACATATTTGATCCCTGTGACCTTGAATATGAGTCAAGGTCATTCATTTGAACAAACTTGGTAGCCCTTCATCGCAGCATGCTACTGGCCAAATATCATCACCCTAGGCACTTTAGTTAGTTGGTTATTCAGAAGAAGTTGTTTGAAGTTTTTAACATATTTGACCCCTGTGACCTTGAATATATGTGAAGGTCATTTATTCGAACAAACTTGGTAGCCCTTCAACCAAGTTTGCTTCTGGCCAAATATCATCACCCTAGGCCTTTTGGTTATTAAGAAGAAGTTTTTTAAACTAAAATATTGACGCCAGATGACGGACGGCTGGACGGCCGGACGACACGCCACGGCATTTAGGCTCACTTGCCCTTCGGGCAGGCGAGCTAAAAACACAACTATATTTGAATATATATTCTCGCCAAAACGTATATATATTGTTGTGTAATGACATATATGCTACTTTTACAAAATAGTCACATTCTATACTAACTAAGAGATTTAATTTTACCTGGCAGTGGAAGTACAGGGATAGAGTCCGAACAGAAACTGCCACACCTTCCTCCTAATGGACAGGTCAACTCCACCTACGAAGTAAACGTGATGTCAGTGGTAAACACAAGATAATTATACAACAGGGCCACACAGTAAACAGTGGGTGTGATATACAGGGCCACACAGTAAACGGTGGGTGTGATATACAGGGCCACACAGTAAATGGTGGGTGTGATATACAGGGCCACACAGTAAACGGTGAACGAGATATACAGGGCCACACAGTAAACTGTGGGTGTGATCTACAGGGCCACACAGTAAACTGTGGGTGTGATCTACAGGGCCAAACAGTAAATGGGGGGTGTGATATACAGGGCCACACAGTAAACGGTGGGGGTGATATACAGGGCCACACAGTAAACGGTGAACGAGATATACAGGGCCACACAGTAAACTGTGGGTGTGATATACAGGGCCACACAGTAAATGGTGGGTGTGATATACAGGGCCATACAGTAAATGGTGGGTGTGATCTACAGGGCCACACAGTAAACTGTGGGTGTGATATACAGGGCCACACAGTAAATGGTGGGTGTGATCTATAGGGCCAAACAGTAAACTGTGTGTGTGATCTACAGGGCCAAACAGTAAACTGTGGGTGTGATCTACAGGGCCACACAGTAAACGGTGAGTGAGATATACAGGGCCACATAGTAAACTGTGGGTGTGATATACAGGGCCACACAGTAAACTGTGGGTGTGATATACAGGGCCAAACAGTAAACGGTGAGTGAGATATACAGGGCCATACAGTAAACTGTGGGTGTGATCTACAGGGCCAAACAGTAAACGGTGAGTGAGATATACAGGGCCACACAGTAAACTGTGGGTGTGATATACAGGGCCACACAGTAAATTGTGGGTGTGATCTACAGGGCCACACAGTAAACGGTGAGCGAGATATACAGGAACACACAGCACACGGTGGGTGTGATATGCATGGCCACCAGTAAACTGTGGGTGGGATATACATGGCCACATAGTAAATGGTGGGTGCGATATACAGGGCCACACCGTAAATGGTGGGTGTAATATACAGGGCCACATAGTAAATGGTGGGTGCGATATACATGGCCACACAGTAAACGGTGGGTGCGATATACATGGCCACACAGTAAATGGTGGGTTAGATATTCAGGGCCACACAGTAAATGGTGGGTGCGATATACAGGGCCACACCGTAAATGGTGGGTGTAATATATAGGGCCACATAGTAAATGGTGGGTGTGATATACATGGCCACACAGTAAATGGTGGGTGAGATATACAGGGCCACACAGTAAACGGTGGAGTCGATATACATGACCACACAGTAAATGGTGGGTGTGATATACAGGGCCACACAGTAAACGGTGGGTTTGATATACAGGGCTACACATTAAATGGTGGGTGTGCATGTGATATACAGGGCCACACAGTAAACGGTGGGTTTGATATACACGGCCACATAGTAAATGGTCGGTGTGATATACATGGCCACACAGTAAATTGTGGGTGTGATATACAGGGCCACACAGTAAATGGTGGGTGAGATATACAGGGCCACACAGTAAATGGTGGGTGCGATATACATGAACAGACAGTAAATGGTTGGTTTGATATACAGGGCCCCATAGTAAACCGTGGGTGTGATTGCATGGCCACACAGTAAATGGTGGGTGAGATATACAGGGCCACACAGTAAATGGTGGAGGCAATATACATGAACACACAGTAAATGGTGGGTGTGATATACATGAACACACAGTAAATGGTGGGTGTGATATACAGGGCCACACAGTAAACGGTGGAGGCGATATACATGACCACACAGTAAATGGTGGGTGTGATATACATGGCCATACAGAAAACTGTGGGTGAGATATACAGGGCCACACAGTAAATGGTGGAGGCGATATACATGGCCACACAGTAAATTGTGGGTGAGATATACAGGGCCACACAGTAAACGGTGGGTTTGATATACAGGGCCATGGGTGTAATATACAGGGCCACATAGTAAATGGTGGGTGTGATATACATGGCCATACAGAAAACTGTGGGTGAGATATACAGGGTCACCCAGTAAATGGTGGAGGCGATATACATGGCCACACAGTAAACGGTGGGTTTGATATACAGGCCCACATAGTAAATGGTCGGTGTGATATACATGGCCAAACAGTAAACGGTGGGTGCGATATACATGGCCACACAGGTGTGATATACATGGCCACACAGTAACTGGTGGGTGAGATATACATGGCCACACAGTAAATTGTGGGCGTGATATACAGGGCCACACAGTAAAGGGTGGGTGCGATATACAGGGCCAAACAGTAAATGGTGAAGGCGATATACATGGCAACACAGTAAATTGTGGGTGTGATATACAGGGCCACACCGTAAATGGTGGGTGTAATATACAGGGCCACACAGTAAACGGTGGAGGCGATATACATGACCACACAGTAAATGGTGGGTGTGATATCCAGGGCCACACAGTAAACGGTGGGTGTGCATGTGATATACAGGTGTAATATACAGGGCCACATAGTAAATGGTCGGTGTGATATACATGGCCCCACAGTAAACGGTGGGTGCGCTATACATGGCCACACAGTAAATGGTCGGTGTGATATACAGGGCCACACAGTTAATGGTGCGTGCGATATACATGGCCACACAGTAGGGCCACACAGTAAATGGTGGGTGCGATATACAGGGACACACAGTAAATGGTGGGTGAGATATACATGGCCACACAGTAAAGGGTGGGTGCGATATACAGGGCCAAACAGTAAATGGTGAAGGCGATATACATGGCAACACAGTAAATTGTGGGTGTGATATGCAGGGCCAAACAGTAAACGGTGTGTTTGATATACAGGGCCACACAGTACACAGTAAATTGTGGGTGAGATATACAGGGCCACACTGTTAATGGTGGGTGCGATATACATGGCCCCACAGTAAATGGTGGGAGTGATATACAGGGCCACACAGTAAACGTGTGATATACAGGGCCATACAGTAAATGGTGGGTGTGATCTACAGGGCCACACAGTAAACTGTGGGTGTGATATACAGGGCCAAACAGTAAACGGTGAGTGAGATATACAGGGCCACACAGTAAACGTGTGATATACAGGGCCATACAGTAAATTGTGGGTGTGATCTACAGGGCCACACAGTAAACTGTGGGTGTGATATACAGGGCCAAACAGTAAACGGTGAGTGAGATATACAGGGCCACACAGTAAATTGGGTGAGATATACAGGGCCACACAGGAAATGGTCGGTGTGATATACATGGCCACACAGTAAATGGTCGGTGTGATTGGGTGTGATATACAGGGCCACACAGAAAATGGTGGGTGTGATATACAGGGCTAAACAGTAAATGGTGAAGGCGATATACATGGCAACACAGTAAATTGTGGGTGTGATATACAGGGCCCCACAGTAAATGGTGAGTGTGCATGTGATATACAGGGCCACACAGTAAATTGGGTGAGATATACAGGGCCACACAGTAAAGGGTGGGTGCGATATACAGGGCCAAACAGTAAATGGTGAAGGCGATATACATGGCAACACAGTAAATTGTGGGTGTGATATGCAGGGCCAAACAGTAAACGGTGTGTTTGATATACAGGGCCACACAGTACACAGTAAATTGTGGGTGAGATATACAGGGCCACACAGCTAATGGTGGGTGCGATATACATGGCCACACAGGTGTGATATACATGGCCACACAGTAACTGGTGGGTGAGATATACATGGCCACACAGTAAATTATGGGCGTGATATACAGGGCCACACAGTAAATTGTGGAGGCGATATACATGAACACACAGTAAATGGTGGGTGTGATATACAGGGCTGATCTACGGGGCCAAACGGTAAACGGTGAGTGAGATATACAGGGCCACATAGTAAACTGTGGGTGTGATATACAGGGCCACACAGTAAACGGTGGGTTTGATATACAGGGCCACACAGTAAATGGTGCATAAGTATATGACACAGTCACAAACTAAATGGCATCAGTTTATTGATCAGAGAAAAGTGTAATAAACATATCTCAAAGCCCAAAATCATTGGTAATAAAACATGGAAGTCGTGAATATCTTATTACCCATGAAAACTGCTTTACGCAGGGAGTGTTCGTCTACGATACGTCCATCCTCGTCAAACATTTGCTCAAACTTCTCCTTTGTAACAGGATTTCCACGTGACGACTCCCCATCATTCAACCACCCATACTCTGAATTACGTGACTTAAAATGGTCTGGTCCTTGACCTTTCTTTTCAGCAGCGTCATCCTCTGGATAATTGATGAATTCAAAAGATTCATCCACACTTCCTGGCCTGTCACAAGTAAACATTATTTTGACCATTAAAAATGTTCATACTCACAAAGGCTTTTGTTAACTGAAAGTTAATAATATAAAGCTAAATATTAAGTGAAGATATTTGTCATTATGACCTATGACTCATACAGCTGTCATGACTTTATCATTAATTTCCTAACTTTCTCGTTACATAACCATGTCTGAACAATGTAAGTCACTGAGTTAAACTGAAATCTTACAAGGTAGCTGCTATATCTACACTGAGTTTACTGTCGGTAAACTGAAATCTCACAAGGTAGCTATATCTATATATATCTCTCGTTGACTCACTTTATATGAAAGTGCATCTTGCGCAACAATAGCTAGGTCCTCTACATCAGCGTTCCTTGTCCGCGATGCTCTCAGCTTAATTGCTGCCTTCGGCTGTCTTTAGCCGAGGGGACTATTGGTTTTATATAATAGCTATATTTTCAATTATAGTATATCAATTATATCTTCTTGTAATATGATGTATATGTACATGTAACTGTTCTGTTTCACTGTGTCTTGAAAAAAGAGCGGATCGTACTGAAAATTTGACAACCTAAACTTGTCCACACTGTTGGAATAACTTCTTTGCCCCATATATTTATACTGAGTTTACTGTCGGTAATCTGAAATCTCACAAGGTAGCTATATGTATACACTGAGTTTACTGTCTGTAATCTGAAATCTCACATTAGGTAGCTATATATCTAAAATAAGTTTACTGTCGGTAAGCTGAAATCTCACAAGGTAGCTTTATCTATAAACACTGAGTTTACTGTCGGTAAAAATGATGATGTTAAACAAAAAGGTAAAGAAATTGAAAAATTGGTTATGCCAGTTGACTTTATAACCATGGCCAGTGACTGTAAGGAGTTCTATAATTACAGCATCTGTTCAGAGTTACAATTAATCTATGTATTAAATTGTAAGCCTGTTGTATTTTCTCTCTACTGTTATGCATAAATACTTTTTTTGATTCATTGACATTACACATTATAAGTTGGGGTTTGTCCTCAAGGAAAACATTATATATATAACCATATTAATTAAGGAAACAAGCAGAATTAAGTCACCGTGTGGCTTTAGGGGTCATCCCAGGCAAAGGCCTAAATTAATCGAATCCAATCCAGTTTTTAACACCCTGACTGATTACTAGTTCTACAGCATAAATAATTTATAAATAACACATGTGATAATATGTCCAATCTACAAAATGTGATATACGTATATTATCTGCCTTTTACCTGCATAAATATTATTAACAAATAATCATGTTTCCGTATTATATTGGCAATATTAATATTTATTTACATACAACAACAACAGCCATACTATTTGTTGTTATCCAGAACTCATTGGCTATTAATTTAAGGGACCTCTACCAAATTACCAATCACAAGAGGGAGCGTCAGACTAATCATATGAGGCAGAATCAGATGGTCATGGGAAACTGATAGTTTTGTTTCCCAGTCATGTAATAATTTTAAATCAATCAGACATACTGTAACATAAATAAGATAGATGTATTAAATAGAGATATATATTATACCTTTCATTATTGTCTGCCATTTCAGTTTCAGGATTTTTTCCGAAAAAACTGCATAGAAATAAAGCAAATCAACAATGTTGTTTTCTCATCAGCTTTAAATTTTCTATGTAGTCATAATGTTCTTGCCGCATTCAGTAACACCATTATCCTTTATTGTCTGAATATAAGTATAGTACGTTCATCCGCACGGCCATCACGGTCTACCCTCGCACAGCTCTTTACGGTTATCAGTTGGTTATTAGCTACTGTATCAATTCAATGACTGCTCAGACATTGCCCTGAGCAATGAAAACAGACGTCGTTCATTCCACACAAGACTGAATTATATAAAGCAGTCATTCCTTTAACTCGAAAAACATATCAACATCAGGTTAGGTGGTATGTTGCTGTTCACTGTCACTGTCTAAACCAACATCACACATTCAACATCAGTTGTCAGCAGACGAATATACGACATCTTCGATGTCCTACTGTTACCGGAAGTGATCTAATCCATTGATTTGTTTATGTTTATTTGCGTATTAACTAGAAAATCGGTTGGATTAATTTGATGATCTCTTGTGTGATTACAACATAATTGTTGAAACACTTTGTAGACCTCTTTTAATTAACATGTTGGAATTACACGATGAACAATGATCAGGCACAGGAAATGAAAGAGGTAAAGGTGGCCTATGTTTACATGGGAAATCAATATTTCAGCCATTTTTAAACGAAACAAATCGTAATAATATGTCTAATTTTACACCAAACAATTTAAAACACCTTTAGTGATTCAGTAATAAATAAATCTTAATCTTGCATTTCTACCTAGTTGATTATTTTTATATTGTTCGATACGAATTGAAATAACATTGAAAATAATATGTCTCGCATACTATATTAGTTTGCATTTTTAGTTAATTTTACAAGGAAAAGGAAGAAGCGTACCGTTACTCAGGATGAAAGTGCGATATATTTGTTGTGTCTGGTTTACGATTTTAGGTAAGGATTGACTTGACAGTTGTATCTTCATGCTCTATCGGTTTTTCCCTTTGTGATATTGGTTATAATAATCAGTCTGTTTTAGTTAATGTATGATATATGCATAATGTTGACTGTCACCTGGTCACAGCTGAACGACCAAACATCACATGACTTCAATATGTGCACATCTATAGGCTAAAAATTGCAGTTTGACAATATGTTGGTGTGTGAAAGTTCACAGTCCCCTAGATATGATTTTTTTCCCATTCTGATGTAGCACTATCAATTCAGTGAATTAACATTTACCTACATGCACACCTCATATGTAATCTTACAAATGTACCTTCAACTGTAACATTTTTTTTACTGATCCGTGATATACTGTCACTAGCTAGTAGCCAAGTGAAATAAATACATAAATTTACTTTAGACATTTAATATGTGCAGAAAAGGGCGTTGTTCTTTCAACATGAACTATTAATCTATCTTATGTGTTATACTCCACAGAGACCAATTAATATAAATGGCTTTAATGATCAAATATATTAAAAAATGTACAAAAAGATTAAACCAGTCCACAAACAATAAGTTGCAAAGTCATTAACTTATCAGAATATTTAACATTTAAAATTGCAATATATATGTGTAACAGCTAAAAAGAAATACACAGCCAAACCGTCCTTCAAACCTGGGGCCCTCGTAACTCCGCTACATTCCTCCCTCCTTTTTTTAAGTCCATGCTCTTTAAGACACGACTATTTACAACCCAGGTTCGGGCATCGATCCCCTTGCCAAGCATTCACATGGCAGTACTTGAAACATGGATTGGCAAGCTTTTAATGCCAGCTTAATTTGTAATTGGAGAAAAATGCACAGATAGATCAGATTTCAAACCCATGGCCACTGACATCAATTCAATATTCCAGACACTTGAATCTGTCTCTTGCAGTAATTAAGATCTGGTATGTATGTCGGGTAACAGGGGAAAGAGAAATGTACAAGCAGATCAGGTTTCAAACTTGGGACACTCCAAACTCTAGACGGGGCCCTTGGCAACCGACATTCCTTCTTCCTTTTTCTAAGTCTTCATCTCATAAGACATCCTATTAAATACCCCACACTCCAGACAAACCTGGACACTTTCCAGTTCAGCTACATATGCATGGCCAGACTGGGATTTGTAGTTTAAACTGTTGTTAATATATCTCTATGATATTATAGCACAGGCACTGAATAAAAAGGAAATTATGAAATGTTATTTTTTTTCCGATATAGATGACAGAGTTCATACTGGATACTGTTCTAGTCATTGCAATGTCACACATTTATAAACATTTTACTGGTTGTGCTACATGGATCTTTCTACAATGTGCATATCAATTGGTATTTCACATGTCATCATATTCCATGATTTCTAGTTTTCAAATGTTATCTTTATGAAATATCAAGCCCTTTGTCAATATATGTGGCAAACAATTTCCCATATCCTTTATATATATGTTCTTCGTGATATTTTTTGCCTTGTTTTACAGCCCAATACAGACACTCGTAACAAAAAAGTGCTGAATTTTCCCAAAATGAAGAAAAAATAGAAATATCTTACAAATTACAATGAAAAATAATATTATAATTTCCCAATTCATGAAGTAACTGGCTGTTGTAAAACTTAGGTAGAAATGAAAAACTGCTGATTGTTTGAATATTTATGGGAAGAATACAAAAACGGAAAGGGGTTTGTCCTCTGTTTCTATATGAGTGTTTTTCCTCTGTTTCGATATGAGTGTTTGTCCTCTGTTTCGGTATGAGTGTTTGTCCTCTGTTTCGATATGAGTGTTTGTCCTCTGTTTCGATATGAGTGTATCGTCTGTGTTTATTACTTTGGTATGGGTGTATCGGTTGTTTTTATTACTCTGGTATGAGTGTATCGTCTGGGTTTATTACTCTGGTATGAGTGTATTGTCTGTGTTTATTACTTTGGTGTGAGTATATCGTCTGTGTTTATTACTCTGGTATGAATGTATCGTCTGTGTTTATTACTCTGGTATGGGTGTATCATCTGTGTTTATTACTCTGGTATGAGTGTACTGTCTGTGTTTATTACTTTGGTATGAGTATATCGTCTGTGTTTATTACTCTGGTATGAGTGTATCGTCTGTGTTTATTACTCTGGTATGAGTGTATTGTCTGTGTTTATTACTTTGGTATGAGTATATCGTCTGTGTTTATTACTCTGGTATGGGTGTATCGTCTGTGTTTATTACTATGGTATGAGTATATCGTCTGTGTTTATTACTCTGGTATGAGTGGGTCGTCGGTGTTTATTACTCTGGTATGAGTGTATCGTCTGGGTTTATTACTCTGGTATGAGTGTATCGTCTGTGTTTATTAGTTTGGTATGAGTGTATCGTTTGTGTTTATTACTCTGGGATGAGTGTATCGTCTGTGTTTATTACTTTGGTATGATCATGAGTGTATCGTCTGGGTTTATTACTCTGGTATGAGTGTATCGTCTGTGTTTATTAGTTTGGTATGAGTGTATCGTTTGTGTTTATTACTCTGGGATGAGTGTATCGTCTGTGTTTATTACTTTGGTATGATCATTAGTGTATCGTCTGTGTTTATTACTCTGGTATGAGCGTATCGTCTGTGTTTATTACTCTGGTATGAGTGGATCGTCTGTGTTTATTACTCTGGTATGAGTGTACTGTCTGTGTTTATTACTTTGGTATGAGTATATCGTCTGTGTTTATTACTCTGGTATGAGTGTACTGTCTGTGTTTATTACTTTGGTATGAGTATATCGTCTGTGTTTATTACTCTGGTATGAGTGTATCTTCTGTGTTTAGTACTCTGATATGGGTGTATCGTCTGTGTTTATAACTTTGTAATGAGTGTATCGTCTGTGTTTAGTACTCTGGTATTAGTGTATCGTTTGTGTTTATTACTCTGGTATTAGTGTATCGTCTGTGTTTATTACTCTGGAATGAGAGTATCGTCTGTGTTTATTACTCTGGTATGAGTGGATCGTCTGTGTTTATTACTCTGGTATGAGTGTACTGTCTGTGTTTATTACTTTGGTATGAGTATATCGTCTGTGTTTATTACTCTGGTATGAGTGTATTGTCTGTGTTTATTGCTTTGGTATGAGTATATCGTCTGTGTTTATTACTCTGGTATGGGGGTATCGTCTGTGTTTATTACTCTGGTATGAGTGGGTCGTCGGTGTTTATTACTCTGGTATGAGTGTATCGTCTGGGTTTATTACTCTGGTATGAGTGTATCGTCTGTGTTTATTAGTTTGGTATGAGTGTATCGTTTGTGTTTATTACTCTGGTATGAGTGTATCGTCTGTTTTTTTTACTTTGGTATGAGTGTATCGTCTGTGTTTATTACTCTGTTATGAGTGTATCGTTTGTGTTTATTACTTTGGTATGAGTGTATCGTCTGTGTTTATTATTCTGGTATGAGTGTATCGTCTGTGTTTATTACTCGGGTATGAGTGTATCGTCTGTGTTTATTACTCTGGGATGGGTGTATCGTCTGTGTTTATTACTCTGGTACGAGTGTATCGTCTGTGTTTATTACTCTGGTATGAGTGGATCGTCTGTGTTTATTACTCTGGTATGAGTGTACTGTCTGTGTTTATTACTTTGGTATGAGTATATCGTCTGTGTTTATTACTCTGGTATGGGGGTATCGTCTGTGTTTATTACTCTGGTATGAGTGTATAGTCTGTGTTTATTACTCTGGTATGAGTGTATCGACTGTGTTTATTACTCTGGTATGAGTGTATCGTCTGTTTTTTTTACTTTGGTATGAGTGTATCGTCTGTGTTTATTACTTTGGTATGAGTGTATTGTCTGTGTTTATTACTCTGGTATGAGTGTATCGTTTGTGTTTATTACTCTGGTATGAGTGGATCGTCTGTGTTTATTACTCTGGTATGAGTGTATCGTCTGTGTTTATTACTTTGGTATGATCATGAGTGTATCGTCTGTGTTTATTACTCTGGTATGAGTGTATCGTCTGTGTTTATTACTCTGGTATGAGTGTATCGTCTGTGTTTATTACTTTGGTATGAGTGTATCATCTGTGTTTATCTATGGACGGACAGGATGTCTGGTATATGGTGTGTCCGGACAGCGTTCACCCACAGATTCTCCCCACGAGTGTGAGACATGGACACAGCTAACCAATGGGATTAACCAGTACCACCGTGGACAAGGTAACATAGCCTGCAAGGACCATAGCCGTGACAAGTGTGAACAGCTCGACTGTGGGGGCAGCTACATCCTAGAGGTAAGTCATACAACAAATTCTAAGGAAACAGCTCGACTGTGGGGGCAGCTACATCCTAGACGTAAGTCATACAACACATTCCAAGGGAACAGCTTGACTGTGGGGGCAGCTACATCCTAGAAGTAAGTCATACAACACATTCCAAGGGAACAGCTCGACTGTGGGGGCAGCTACATCCTAGAGGTAAGTCATACAACACATTCCAAGGGAACAGCTAGACTGTGGGGGCAGCTACATCCTAGACGTTAGTCATACAACACATTCCAAGGGAACAGCTCGACTGTTGGGGCAGCTACATCCTAGAGGTAAGTCATACAACACATTCCAAGGGAACAGCTCGACTGTGGGGGCAGCTACATCCTAGAGGTAAGTCATACAACACATTCCAAGGGAACAGCTCGACTGTTGGGGCAGCTACATCCTAGAGGTAAGTCATACAACACATTCCAAGGGAACAGCTCATACAATTTCTGCTTTTTAGCTATTACTGAAGTTTATGAATATTTAACATGAAAGAGTTGGTTTTTGCAAGAAAGAATACATATTTTTTTTATACAACTACAAGAACAAGTTTTTTGGTTATTACATAAGTTATGCTCATTGAATATTCAATAGGGATCATCATCAATATAACACGTCCACACCAGTGATAAGATTCTATTGATATATTGCCCGTGCCCTTGTTATAACATGTGATTATGTCTGTGTACAGTTTATACAGATGCAGTTCAATGTGTGCCTTGGGCTGGTGTTCCATCACTGTGATAGCCCTCCCTCCATAGAACTCAGCCTACAGATACCAACCTTCAATGCTAGTATCCACCGGCTTGTCATCCACAACGACACCATCCCAGTCCCAGGTAAACACTTCAACCTCGAAAAGGCCATACAAATGTATAGTGTAGCTTTATATTGGATGCTTATGTAAATAGCTGTCAAGTTTGTCCAAATAAATGACCTTGACCTACTCTTGAGGTCATAGGGTTCAAATTTATTCAAGTTTTCCACATTTGTTAAATATTCCAAGAACTTCAACTAATGTTTACTTTAAAGATAAACAAGGTCTAGAGTAAAAACCATTGGCTTGTACCTAACTGGGATGAAGGGCTATCCAGTTTGTCAGAATAAATTACCATGAATCACTTTCCAGGTCAAATATGTTAAAAATTCCAACAACTCTTCTTCCTAGAGTAGTGATATTTGGCTTGTGATTTGTGATGATAACGGGCTATTAGTTTTGTCTAAATGAATGAGCAGCCAGCTATAGACTCGCACTGGAGTCAACATTGTTGCTTTATCATGATCAGCTGGAAGATAGGTGTCTAGTTTCAAATCAGGTTTATGGGTAAAACGTTTTCAGTTTGATTGAAATTAGATCAAATTAGATTTTCAACTGGCCCTGAAAGTTTAATATTTAAATCGCATATGTGTAAATACATAATGACTACATAGTTCATCAGAAAGCAGCTCTCAGAGAAATGTTTCCTTGTCATATATACAAGTTTGTTAACCTTCCTTACACCATTCACTAACAGATACAGGCATGTCTGACGTCTTGTATAGACCTGGTTGTCTGATGTCTTGTATATACCTGGTTGTCTGATGTCTTGTATAGATCTAGACCTGGTTGTCTGATGTCTTGTATCGACCTGGTTGTCTGATGTCTTGTATATACCTGGTTGTCTGATGTCTTGTATCGACCTGGTTGTCTGATGTCTTGTATATACCTGGTTGTCTGACGTCTTGTATAGACCTGGTTGTCTGATGTCTTGTGTAGACCTGGTTGTCTGACATCTTGTATAGACCTGGTTATAAATTTTGTTTCTGTAGGCCTGAGTAGGAACATTGGACAAAACAGGGCCGAGATTGTACTGTTTGTAGAACTGCAGAGATGGAACAGGACAAGCTTCCTGTTGAAGGTAGGTTAGTGTGAAATAATCTGAGACTGGAACATTATAAGATTGAAAATATGATCTTCACCAGTACATACATCAGCTGGCAATGTTCAGAAATAAACATTGGGGACATCCAACCATGGCTAGTAAATAACGGATAGTATTACCTACCAGGGGACAACTACTAAAGGGAGTGTTACAGAACTTAAGTACATATTTATCTGATTACAATGCTCACTTAGTTTTAAAACATTGTCATTTCTCCCACTAGATGTCTGGACGTGTCCGTCTGACAACAACAGTGTTTGGCCGCGAGATCACAGACTGGCCGGAACATTTACAACAAGACATTATCACGATGAGTATTCCTGTCACTAACTGTACAACTCGTACCAGAACAACGCTATCCCCACTGAAGCCGTGTGACGTTCAGCAGTACATTGGGACCAGTAGCCCCTTCACCGCCGTCGTCACTACACCCTCACCACCCATCAAAATCACCTCAGGTACTTAATGGGTTATAAATAGATTGTAACATAGCATGTTTATCAGAGGTTTAGCTTAGAACAAGATATGTTGGTGACTACAGGATGTGATGACATACGTTGGTTGTATATGTAATTTTGTATTTTCAGTGACGTACAATAAAACCTGTCTACCTGGATCAATGAGAAGATCCCAGTGTGGATACGGGGAAGCCTGTATCAACAGTCGCTGTCTGTGTGCATACGACTACCAGCTGTCCACTTACGGTGTCTGCCAGATCATTGGAAAAAAGCAAGCAGGACGTGAGTACTGATTCATCTACAGCCATTTACATGGACTTTTTAATTGGCCTGTAATTCCTCTTCACAGCTGTTCATCCATATATTCCTCATAATCAGGGCTGTTAAGTCAATTTTCTGTACAATTTAAGGATTTCAAGGTGTTAAATGGAAATAAGTGAAGAACCTGATAAATAATAAGCACAGAAAAAAATAGCATGAAACCCAACCATGGACTGATCAAGGTCAATGATTTTGGAGTCCATGGGTGTTTTTTAGTTGCGTAGGGGTTTGTTTGTTTGTTTGTGTTTAACGGCCCATCGACGGCAGTGGTCATTTAGGGCCATGGTGATTTATTATGTTTTTAAATTAAAAAAAATAACAAACATGTGAGTAGCGAAGATAAAATCAGATAAAAAGGTTCATTTTAAAAGCATTCACATTGTATGTGTGAATAATTAAAATAAAAAGGTGGTTAAAATAATAAAAGAGATAACAAATAGATGATATGGACTATGTGATATATATAACGTCAAAAAGGGTAAGGTGGTTTGAATAGTTAAATAATGTTTGAGTCCACAGAACTGAAAAGAGTTTTCATATCTGCGACTCGAAAGTAGTTATCACGAATGTATTTAAAATCGGAACATTCTATTAAAAAATGTTCCTCTGTAAATGGAGTGTCACATGCGTGGCACGAAGGTGGATCAGTAGGATATGTGTGCCCAGTACAGGGCCGAGCGAGGAAAACTTCCTCTCTACGATCTTTCCGACTGGGAGTAGATGTTTTAAGTTTCGGTTGTACTTTAAAAAGTTTGTTGCTGGTCTCAAGAGACCAGCGTTGCTACCGTTTTAGTTTGAATGGCTGTACGAATAATTGGTTTAAAATCTGTTTGATATTTGTTTGTTGGAGATTTAATGCATTTTTGATTCCCTGTCAACAAATTTGTTGTCTTTAATTCCGACATGGCTCGGAATTCATAGTAAAGTTATTTTAGACATTTTTAAGATACAAGATATTGGAAGAGCAAGGTTTTGAACGAGTGTGTTTTTAGGATCTCATAACTGTAAACTCTGTAGGACAGATAGAGAGTCAGAACAAATGATCGCCTTTTTAATGCGGTATTCATCAGTATGGTCGAGGGCCAAACCAATGGTGCATGCTTCGGCAGAAAAGACGGAGGCGCCGTCTTGTAGTCACACTGAAATGCAAGTATTAGCAGTACAGCAGGCTGCTGCCACTTTCTCACCTTCTTTGGAACCATTGATGTAAAGTTGTGTAATTTGAAATGCATTCCCGAAAGGAGAATTTGTGTTGTTCGGGCATAACACTTGATTTCCCTCGCTCATGTAATGTAAAGTTAAAATTAGGTGTTTGAATGGTCCACGGAGGAACATCAGATATGTTAAATTCAGCCAGTCAACTTTATGTTGAGTTCTTGCAGGAAATTTGAAATTTGGATGCCAAATGTTGGCAGAAGTTTTGGGTTTCGCATAAATATGTTTTGGTATTTTGAGTTGAATTGTTAGTCCAAAGCAGGATTTTTAGGGTTTGATTTTAATTGAGCTGCAAACTGTAATGCAAGTTTTTTCCTTCTTTCCTAAAGGGATGGTTCATCGCTTCCACGTATATGCTTTTTACAGGTGTTGTTCGATTGCACTTTGCCAATCTGTCCTTCCATCCTTCTTTATTCCGTTTTCTGGGGCTTATTTTCTACAATGTTAACCTGGAGTAACTGTATTTTGTATGCGAATATATTTTGGGATGGTGGAGGGAAGAGTACAAGTCAAAAAGTAGGTCACTGTGATCTATGCTTTGACTTTGAATACTGTGCCTTGTTTTTACAGTCTGTACAATTTACAGCTGAACTGATGTGTACAATGTATCTTTCAGCTATACTGAACGGATTTCCTTCCATTCCAGGATTACCGATGCTAGCAAGTCAGCAACAGTCCACTTCCAGCAGCGGGTCAAACAGTGAGTAGGACGTAGGCATTGTCGGGTTGGAGATTTGGTGCAGACGTTGACAATCATAATCTTTAGGATTTGTACTAAGGTGTTGATATTTTAATATCTAAGGGTCCAATACTTCCTCTTTTGCCAATATATAAGAAGTATTTCTTTGACAGATTTTCATAAATCATCACGTCTGCCTCATACACACCCATGAAACATATTTGATTATTGTTAGCTTACCTGCCTGCTGTCCGTCATTGCCTTCAATTTTTTCAAAGTTTGAGAACGAAAATGACCTTGACCTACTTTCAAGGTCCCAGACATCAAATATGTCAAACACTTCAAACGACTCCTTTTGAAGAACTGAAAGGGAAAGAATCTTCATATTTGGCTGGTGGCTTCCTGGGATAGAGCCAAACAAAGTTACAAATGAAAATGACCTTGACCTACTTTTAGGGTCACAGGGGTGAAATATGTGAAAATCGAAAGCCATGGATTCATTATGTTTGGCTGGTGGCTTCTGGGGATACAGCTTAGCAAAATTTGCAAATGAAAATTACCTCAACCTAGTACTTTAAAGGTCACGTGGTCAACAACATTTCAAACAATTTGTTCTGAAGAACCAAAAGGAATTGATTCATAAGATTTAGGTAGTAGCTTCTTAGAGATAGAGCCAACAAAGTTTGAAAAGGAGAATGACCTTGACCTACTAACATGGTCACAGGAGAAAATATGTCAAACACTTCAAACAACTTCTGAAGTAGGTAGTTTCAACTGATGGAGTCAACAAAGTTTACGAGTGGAATATTTGTAGTACAGTATAATATTTAATGAGAATATTTTGCTGTGACTGCCTAAATATTCAGGTGAGCGAACAGGCCCTCTGGGCCTCTTGTTTTGATTCATGTGATACCTTGTCTGCACTACTCATGCCTTGTTTGTACTAGTCACGCCTTGTCTGTACTAGTCACGCCTTATCTGTACTAGTCACGCCTTATCTGCACTAGCCACACCTTGTCTGCACTAGTCACACCTTGTCTGCACTAGTCACACCTTGTCTGTACTAGTCACACCTTGTCTGTACTAGTCACACCTTGTCCTTACTAGTCACACCTTGTTTGTACTAGTCACACCTTGTCTGTACTAGTAACGCCTTGTCTGTACTAGTCATGCCTTGTTTGAACTAGTCACGCCTTGTCTGTACTAGTCACACCTTGTCTGTACTAGTAACGCCTTGTCTGTACTAGTGATGCCTTGTCTGTACTAGTGACGCCTTGTCTGTACTAGTGACGCCTTGTCTGTACTAGTCACACCTTGTCTGTACTAGTCACACCTTGTCTGTACTAGTCACACCTTGTCTGTACTAGTCACGACTTGCATGTACTAGTGACGCCTTATCTGCACTAGTCACACCTTGTCTGCACTAGTCACACCTTGTCTGTACTAGTAACGCCTTGTCTGCACTAGTCATGCCTTGTCTGTACTAGTGACACCTTGTCTGTACTAGTGACACCTTGTCTGTACTAGTAACGCCTTGTCTGTACAAGTCACGCCTTGTCTGTACTAGTCACACCTTGTCTGTACTAGTCACACCTTGTCTGTACTGGTGACGCCTTATCTGCACTAGTCATGCCTTGTCTATACTAGTGACGCCTTATCTGCACTAGTCACACCTTGTCTGCACTAGTCACACCTTGTCTGCACTAGTCACACCTTGTCTGCACTAGTCACACCTTGTCTGCACTAGTCACACCTTGTCTGCACTAGTCACACCTTGTCTGCACTAGTCACACCTTGTCTGCACTAGTCACACCTTGTCTGCACTAGTCACACCTTGTCTGCACTAGTCACACCTTGTCTGCACTAGTCACACCTTGTCTGCACTAGTCACACCTTGTCTGCACTAGTCACACCTTGTCTGTACTAGTCACACCTTGTCTGTACTAGTCACACCTTGTCTGTACTAGTCACACCTTGTCTGTACTAGTCACACCTTGTCTGTACTAGTCACACCTTGTCTGTACTAGTGACACCTTGTCTGTACTAGTGACACCTTGTCTGTACTAGTGACACCTTGTCTGTACTAGTAAGGCCTTGTCTGTACAAGTCACGCCTTGTCTGTACTAGTCACGCCTTGTCTATACTAGTAAAACCTCGTCTGCACCAGTCACACCTTGTCTGTACTAGTCACACCTTGTCTGTACAAGTAACACCTTGTTTGTACTAGTCACACCTTGTCTGCCCTAGTCACGCCTTGTCTGTACTTGTCACACCTTGTTTGTACTAGTCTCGCCTTGTCTGTACTAGTCACACCTTCTCTGTACTAGTCACACCTTCTCTGTACTAGTCACACCTTCTCTGTACTAGTCACACCTTCTCTGTACTAGTCACACCTTCTCTGTACTAGTCACACCTTGTTTGTACTAGTCTCGCCTTGTCTGTACTAGTCACACTTTGTCTGTACTAGTGACTCCTTGTCTGTACTAGTAACGCCTTGTCTGTACTAGTCACACTTTGTCTGTACTAGTGACTCCTTGTCTGTACTAGTCACACCTTGTTTGTACTAGTCACGCCTTGTCTGTACTAGTCACACTTTGTCTGTACTAGTGACACCTTGTCTGTACAAGTAACACCTTGTCTGTACTAGTCACACCTTGTCTGTACTAGTCACACCTTGTCTATACTAGTCACACCTTGTCTGTACTAGTAAAGCCTTGTCTGTACTTGTGACGCCTTGTCTGTACTAGTCAAGCCTGGTTTGTACGAGGCATGTGTATGGGAGGGGATGCCATGACTTACAGTGACATTTGTTCTTTTGTTTGTGGACTGTTCACTTCATCACATTGTAACTTATTCTTCCCACGTTATCACATTGTAACTTGTTTTTCTGGGTTTTTTACAGAGACAAAACTAGCCATGATAATCGGAGGCTCTGTAGGTGGTCTAGTAGCTTTGGTGGCTGTCATCATTGTTGTAGTCATGGTGATCCGCAAGCGTGGGGCTCGGTACCAAGGCCGAGAACTCCTCCTCACCGAGGACGACACTGATGGAGCTATATAAAACACAACCTGACAAGGAGGGAAGAAAGGAAAGGAAGATAATTACGCAGAGTTACAAAGTGTTAGTAGAAGGAGGGACGAACACACTGATCTGAATGACCAGAAATACACCTTTAATAGAAGTGCGGGGTATCATATTTTACCTTCAGATTTCAGGTCATACCATTCTTTGTACACAATAGATAATCTTGGCTCTTTCATCAGCATTTTTAATACCTATTGTGTAAGGACTCTCTTCACATAACTACACTCAAAAACAGACTTGTGTAATTTTCGCTGTCTTGAGGTCTGTAGGTAAAAGTATGAGACCCACTTTAATTGTATTTCAGTTTTCCAACTATTGAGAACTAAAGCATAATTTCAAAGAAAAAACGTCCAGAACTATTTGATGATGAATGTGTGGGATTGCATGGGTAAAACATTGTTTTTAGTCGTTATATAGTATATATATATATATTTAGAAAAAATAAGATTAACGACCGACTAAAAAACTAGCTGCTTTCACCCTTCACAGGGCTCTTCAGGTTTATTCAAAAGAACAACATCGTGACGTCACAATTACATGTCATCACACTACAATAGTAACGTGTCGTCACGAAGTACACAAAATTGGTGGACAATTTAGCGTAAAATTTTACTGTGGCCTGTTGAGACTTGGTTTTGATATTTTGATTAGTTGGTCTTCTTTCTATTCTCTTAAAATAGTGTCTGATGACAAACGAAAGAAGACCAACTAAGGGTGAAAGCAGCTAGTTTTTTAGTCGGTCGTTAATCTTATTTTTTCTATATTTACTTCCTTCACATGGACATTTAATCACTTTTTATTATATATATATATATGTTTGTATATGGTTGTTATAGAAAGACTTGTGTCGCTGTAACAATGATGATACGTAGGTTACAGAACAATGGGAGGGTAGTACTCAGCAGTGAATATCACAAGTTTTGTGTACTCAGCAGTGAATATCACAAGGTTTGTGTACTCAGCAGTGAATATCACAAGGTTTGTGTACTCAGCAGTGAATATCACAAGGTTTGTGTACTCAGCAGTGAATATCACAAGGTTTGTGTACTCAGCAGTGAATATCACAAGGTTTGTGTACTCAGCAGTGAATATCACAAGGTTTGTGTACTCAGCAGTGAATATCACAAGGTTTGTGTACTCAGCAGTGAATATCACAAGGTTTGTGTACTCAGCAGTGAATATCACAAGGTTTGTGTACTCAGCAGTGAATATCACAAGGTTTGTGTACTCAGCAGTGAATATCACAAGGTTTGTGTACTCAGCAGTGAATATCACAAGGTTTGTGTACTCAGCAGTGAATATCACAAGGTTTGTGTACTCAGCAGTGAATATCACAAGGTTTGTGTACTCAGCAAAATTAATGTGTTAATGAGTTATAAACACTTAATGTCAATTCACAGAAGGAATTGAAATTATTTGCAATATGAATGTTCATACCTACCAATCTCTAGTTGAAATGTTAAATACTTTAAGTGACTAGTAGGGATACAATCTGTGTTACATTGTTCTCACGATATTAAATGTTGATACATTCCATATCATATTGACTACAGTCTAAAGGAAGGGCGAGGTCATATCAAAATGGGAGGGAGGACAACAGGAGGGTCAGGGGGGGGGGGGGACATTATTAGGAAAGAGAGAGAGAGTGTCACAGTAGTAAGAAAAGGGATTGAAGGAAATAGAAAGTGAAAGAAATAAAATGGGAGGAGGAGAAAAGGGAAGGGGAAAGGGGACAGCGAGGGGTAGAGAAGGAGAGAGGGAGGAAGAAATGGTGTGAGGAGTATGTGAGAAGAGGCCGGAGAGAGGTATGGAAGGGAGGTAGAGGGGCTTTTTCTGGAGTGTCAGAGATCCAATTACATGACTATGATCATGTGCTCCCTTACAGGATAATTTGTGCTTGAAAAAGTCCGACAGAATCACCTCAATGTTTATGTTGTGTTTTAAGTAAAATACGTGGCAATAGTAAGTGCCATATGATATGCATAATGTGATATTTGTAAATATTTCTATACTACTGTCATTCAGACATCCTGTACTACATACTGTCCACACACCCTCTATAGACTACTGTCATTCAGACATCCTGTACTACATACTGTCCACACACCCTCTATAGACTACAGTCATTCAGACGGTGTCATTGAGTGACCGTCCTCGTACTGAAATCATTGCCACTTCCTATTTTGGTAATGTCTCATCTAAAAGCAAAATACTCACTCCTGAGATTAAGGGAAATGTGGAGATTTATTTAAGGATTGGTTGTCATATTTTTGACAAGCATTGGTGTGTAACACACATTGGCTTACCTCCATATTGAATGGTGCGCGCTAGAGTCATGAGAATAGGCTGATAGTCACAGGTCAAATATGTCCAGAAATCAAAACTACTCCTTCTGAGATTTTGAAATGAATCATGAGCTTCATTGATTTTCAGAAGCGTCAAATCTGTTAAAATCTGGTAGCAGTATTTTTGAGCCTGTAGATTTATTTTTATTTGACTTTTGTCTACTTTTAAGGTTACAAGTAATTAATTAAAAGTTTATTAATAGCATATGTGCAATGCAGGCCTATTGAGCCTCTTGTTATTCCTTTTTTCGCCATTTGGTTATGTTGATTTGAAAGTTAATGACTAATGGATCTAAGTTTTTATTTATCCAAGATTCAGTGTGTACAATACATGATCTGAATGTTATATTAATCAGATCTGGTAGGAAGTAGAAGATTCTGAGACACAATGGTGTACATTAAGTGTTGTTAGAAACACATGATACTGTTTATATTTGTAAGTTTATAAGTTGATGCTATACCCATGTATTGTAGATACCTTGATGTATATCTGGTACAATGTAACAGCAGTGAAGACAGTTTTATCATGAGTCCTGGAGAGATTTCTGTTTGTATTAGATCTGGGTTAGATGTGTGATATTAGGCAATACTTTGTAACATATTTCAGTCTGGTATTTGTTGTTGGTTCTAATATAAATGTCCAACTTATCCATACTTGATGTTCATTGTAGGAAAGTAAAACAAAGTATAGACTATATCTCTTTTGATACTGTAAGTATACATATATATTTGGTGAACAAATGTCAGTTTAAACAAAATATCTTCATACATATCGTAAAAACATTCTCCAGTTCATTAAGAAACACGAACCGCAGGTGAGAAAGGTTGACCCAGCTATTATCATCTTGGATATTGGCAGTGGACAGTGTACATGCTGTAAGCGTGTGTTGTGAGAAGATGGTACCAGTGTAGGGCTGTAGTCGGACTATTGTACGATTATTTGACAAGTATAATGGTACAGGAAGTTTTGCATTGTAAAATTCCCACTTTCATCAGATAACAATGGCAGCCTTGATTCAGTTTGTCTTTAAGACGTTTCGTGACCTAAGCAACATAACCCGGTTCTTAGTTATTAGTTAATGTCAAAAAGCTATTAAGAAAGCAAAATAGTGAAAACATGGAAAAAAATACTAATGTTTTGTGCATTCTTTCATCTTTTTTGTTTAAAACATCTTAATTAAAAAAAAAAAAAAAATCATTTACTTTAAAAGTGTTATATAAACAGACAAAGATGAGTGTTCTCAAGAAAGTCTGTGATACTCCGAATTGTTCATACTTTAGATCTGTGAATTGTTCTGATCTGTAACGTTATCTAATTCTGAAATGTGTTCGAAATTCGTATCTGAGAAATCTCAACCACGTCTGCGGGTTTTACAAATCACTACTGCAATGTGTATTGAATTTGTTTGTACAGCTTTTTATTGTTTATTAATCTACATTTGAAACTATTTTCTTGTCATGTTTTGTTGTTGTTCAAAGCTTTAGTGTATTCCAGATCTGTGTCTCTGACTGTTTGTGTCAACAGATCTAATGACTTCTTCATAAACATTGTATTATGTTCATCATAGGTATTTCCTACATTTTTGACTTCTGATTTCTTTATCTTTTTGTCATCTTATTTGTGACATTAATTCACTATAATAAATACATCACACACATAAATTTTGTTTGTTTGAATTTGAAATGGAGCCATGTTTTCTTGCATGCTATATATAATGAAATACAATCAAGGTAAACCATGTACAATCACACTGATACATACAGAGTTTGAAACCTCCACTATCACAGTCAATCCCAACCAGTGCAAATTAATTGCAGAAAAACTAACCTATTGAAAAATAACATTGATGCTCAAGTTTTAAAACTGTTGTATGACATGGTCATGGTGGACACACCCAGGGTCCTGAAGATAAACATGTCCTAAGCGTTAACCTTTATAGAAATACTTTAATTATCTCACTGGTACTGACACACCCAGGGTCCTGAAGATAAACATGTCCTAAGTGTTTACCTTTATAGAAATACTTTAATCATCTCACTGGTACTGTCACACCCAGGGTCCTGAAGATAAACATGTCCTAAGTGTTAACCTTTATAGAAATACTTTAATTATCTCACTGGTACTGACACACCCAGGGTCCTGAAGATGAACATGTCCTAAGTGTTTACCTTTATAGAAATACTTTAATTATCTCACTGGTACTGACACACCTAGGGGCCTGAAGATAAACATGTCCTAAGTGTTAGATATTAATTAACCTTTATAGAAATACTTTAATTATCTCGCTGGTACTGACACATCCAGGGTCCTGAAGATGAACATGTCCTAAGTGTTTACCTTTATTGAAATACTTTAATTATCTCACTGGTACTGACACATCCAGGGTCCTGAAGATGAACATGTCCTAAGTATTTACCTTTATAGAAATACTTTAATTATCTCACTGGTACTGACACACCCACGGATACGACGTGAAAAGAAAGGATCCTACGTCACGGGAACAAGTAAATATGAGGTGACAATTAGCTAAGATGTGGAAGGCCATATGCAATTCAGGGGAGGAAACCAATCACATATGCTTAAAACAATTTTTTTCAACGTAGTACTTAGTATTTGAATCATAGGAGAAAAATAATCATCACCCATCCCGTAGATGAAACAGAAATATCCGACCCTCGGGGTGATTATTTGATCGTCTTGCCCAAGGGTTACCGTCATTGTACCTATAACGGGACACCTCTCAGTTAAATATTTGTGTATGTTATACCATATTATCTATTCTGACAGTTTGTCTATTTTTCATCAGTAGATATTATCAACTTTTATTTTCTATAACAAGTTGATATATCCAGCACATGGTTCTATAACAAGGTAAATAGTATTACGGTCACGTGGGACACAATGGCGTATGCTACCCTACATGGGACACTTTTTGTGTGTTGGCTAATATTGTGGGATAAACGATTAATATACGTAGTTCAAGTATTTTAGACTCTTAGGAAGGTTATGGTTATTTTTTTTCCAAACTAGCATTACTTTTAAAAGATAAGTTTCTGGGATTTATATCCAAACAGAGAACGTCACATGGCACGTAAATTGAGGAAGTTATGTATTAAAATTATTTCTCAACTCAAACTATCCAAGTAATCATAATTAACAGCTAATAAAGCCGGTATACAGCTGAATAAATTGAATACATTAAAATACTTCTTTATATTGCATGTCAATTTCCTAGCCCGTTTTCCCACACCTGTTCCGTTTTGGCTTCACTACGTTAGACAACAACAAAAATTACCTCTCCAGGTAGAAAGGGCCTGTTTCCAGTAATGTTAATTCTCCATAGGAGCCTGCCCCCGTATAATTTCTTATCTAGCTCAACTACTGTTTTTTTCTTTTCCGAAGAATAATTTTACACCTTTCCGACACCCAGATTTCATAATTTCAGTGAAAATGTATTTTTATAAAGTTGTCAATTTCAGCATCAAAGACATAAGTTCGTAAATAAAAGAAGGTTATCTCGAAATTGTAATTCGCAACATAGTATAAATTTCTTTTGATAAATATTTCCAAAACATCGTGTTTATTCATAAAACAT